CATCATTTAATGAATATAACTCCGTGTCACATTTTCATGCTTACATGTCATTCTCATTCTCATTCTCATTTCGTTACATATCATACATATTCCTAGCGGGGTTATGTATCATGCAATTTACCGTATTTCATGTCATACAATTCATTCAGTTACATTCCAATACTCATACAACAAGCCATAATCGTACAAGGCCACACATCGTCACATGCATTCGTATCACATCAACTAAGCAGCATAAATAACATACATTCACGTTCACATGATTTCGTACTTAAGCACAATAATCTAGCATACAATGTACCATATCATAAACAGGTCATAACATAAACACTTCATTGTCATATCGTTCTCTAACTTACCATAACACTATCGTTCTATCAATCTATCACAAACCTATCCCTTTCTACCCATAATCTAACCGTATTCTTTCATCAATCTCTCCTATCCATAGCACTCCGGTATGTAACCTGACCTTAACGTTTCACGAACGTAACTTACTTCTATCGTTACATTTCGTTTTGTACATCCTTCTCGTATCCTATCTCAAACATATCCTTGAGCACATCGTACCATAATTATTATCATACAAACCACATATAATAACATAACATAACATATAGGAAGCATATCAATCCACAGACAATTCACACATCAATATATATGACACGTGCAGAACCACAGGGCACGTGTCAACATCAAATATAACCATGTCGATAGTAAGGTCACTTACCTGGCTCGCTTAAGTCATTGTCACAAATATATCTTGAATGAAAGTTCGATTCCGTCCTTTGAAATCCGAGTCAACCTATATGAGCTCATGACATCAGTTTCAAGTATGAACTCTATAAAATTATTTCCCTAATTTACATTGGCCATCTTAAAATTCTGATATTTTCTGTTAGACAAAATTTAAAGAAGCTCCTCCCCCTGATAAAAATTCTTCTATTAGACAAAATTTAAAGGGGCTCACTGCCCTGATATTTCCTTTTATTGCTAAATACTATTTAACAAATCTTTCCTCAATCCCCCTCTTCTCTCTCTCCTTTTTTTTAAATGAGTTTTTCAATTGTGTAAATAGATATTCCTACCCAATTTTAAATACAGATCTTTTAGTTTATAGATCTGCCACCTAAAATTTTATTGAATCTAACCTTATATAACCTTATTTCGTATAATTAAAATGCTAACAAAAATCTAATAATTGTATATGGGATCTAATTATTACAGACGATAAGATAGGAAAGAAGATTTGATCCTAAATTAATTTCTTATTACCATAACTAAATTAATTTCTTAGAACTATAACTCTAGAAGAGAGGAAATCTGAGATAGAATTTTACCGTAACAACTAACAAAAATCTCTAAATTTGCAGTCTTTTCAAAGCCNTTTTACTTCTTCTCAGTTGGTTTTTTTTTTTTTTTTTTTTTTTTTTTTTTTTGCAGTTGGGGTAATATGAGTAGATGAGAGATAATTATGGGAAGGGATGAGAGGTTAGAGGAGAGAGGTGGGGAAAGTTTTTTTTTTTTTTTTTTAATTTTAATTTAATTAATTAATTATTATTATTATTATTTTAACTCTTTTGTTTATTTGTTTATTTATTTTTTGAGCTATTACAATAAGGGAGGGGTAGCTCATTCATGATGAGGGAGACTATTATGGACCTAGGTGGTTGCAGCTCACCCGTAGGTAAGATACCATGTAGTGTCATAAGCCATGCTTGAAGTAGCTCCTCGTAGGTCACTGGTCATTCACAGCTTGGCATAAGGAACTCTTAGGGTATAAATAAAAGGACGAAGAACCAAAATAGTAGAAGGAGATTATACCATAACTAGTCCTAGAGCCAAAGAAAAGTCCATGGGAATCTATTAAGCCTAGAATGTGATGAGGTGACTTACTGAGTATAATTTTTATACTCATCCCTCTTTTTCTATCTTTTTCAAGTGTTCGCAGGCTACGAGTTGAGGTGGAGGAGCGTTCAAGAGCTATGCGGTCACAGGGGGGTCGTTCCAGAGCGTCAATCAATTTTTAGTCATTTTAGAGTTTTTTAAATTTCCTTTTACATTCGTAATCCCTTTCTAATATTTGAAACAAAACTTCTTTCTCTATTATTTTAAATTTTATTGAATTTTTACCATTTATTCGTTGACGCTTCCCTTATTTTATTTTTAATCATTCTCGCTTTCGTCTTTTTGGTCACCGTTCGAGTTTTGAAGCTTAAAAAAATCGAGTCCTTACACAATTTTTTTTTAAAACTTGCTCCATTTAGTCACTTACATGCTTGGATGTCTTCGAGTTTGCTTTTCACGGCCTTACTGAAGCTAGTTTCCTTCAACTTTCTTGATAGGTGCCAAATTGAGTCTAATTTCAAAAATACTAAAAACTTTTATGAGAACGAGTCTAAAAACGGGTGAGTTAGTTAATTTAATAAGTAAAGGTCAACCAGGTGAAGTGAGCGGTATAAATGAACCACCATGTTAGCATAGCCTCCAATCTCCAGTTGTTTGAAGAACTTGCACTCAAGCTAGTTTTTGTCTTCAAAAACTCGAGCTTTTCTCAATGATCCAGTAGCTATTTCACTCGATTCCTTGACTAACTTTGTAGTCCTATATACTACAGATCGAATAGGACAAATTTAAGTTAATTTAGTTTAAAAACTAGCAAGATAGATCACGTCAAAGTAGGCTACTCGAACATCAATTCTGGATTTCTTTCTTACTCTCGGTCAAGGAGCTTGAGAGGTTACTACCTCTCGAGTTCTTCACCAAGCTTGCTCCTTATCTTGCCCTAAATCTAATATTATAAAACCTATAATATGAATCAATCGATCGAGAATGAATTTTGGAATCAAAATTTGGAATCTTGTAATCTTCAACCTTCCCGAGAGTCAACCACTGAGTCTTGAATTTCTACAACTTTTAGCTTTTGGTTTCTCCACCACAGTTGTTCCTCTCCTTACCACGAAGTTGCGATTTTCAAAATTCTAACCCGAAACTTTCCATGAAAATTGTGGGCCTTTCTTTGGTCATTTCTGTTCAGAGTGGTTCATAAAATAAAAACATTCTATTTTAGCTTTAAATTCTTTGGAGATAGGTTAGAAGTCTTAATTTTAGGGCTATTTTTGTAATTTACCTCTTTTTAACGTTACTTTTGTAAATTTAGTCTAATTTGATAATACTTGTTCTTAACCTGAACTTATGCAATGTTTTATTTTTAAAATTAGGGATGTCGTGATTGAATTTTGAGTTTTTATTAATACTTTTTAAAGTTAAGAGACGTATCAGATAGGAGTGTATACATAGAGTTGGAAGAATCTTTTCCAATTCAAAAATTTCGGTTGGTTGGATTGGTGACCCGAGAAATCCAAATAGAGTTCATTGTTCAACCCAACCCAACCATCTATTTTCAGGTTGGGTTGGGTTACTCGTCTTTTTTAATTTATTTTAAAAAAATTCTACTCATCCATAACTCACATTACGATAATAATTAAAATGTCGTAAAAATCAAATATCAAACAGTTCACAAGTGACAACCACATCAGTAACATCAGCTACAAACAACCACATTACCAGGTTGTTGGTTGGGTTCGTTTGCAACCATTTCGGATTAGTTGATTTGACTCGACCTAAAAATATCCCACGAACAGAAGCGAATTTTCGATTTTTCAAAAATTTAACTCAACTCAAATCGAAAAAAAAAAAAAAAAAGTAATCCAATCAATTTTTATGATTTAACTTGAATAATTCAAATTAGTCGAATTATCAAACGATAAAAGGGTCAAACGTGGTTGCTCGCATCGAAGAGAGCCGTCGTAGACGAGTCTTAACCTAATTAAAATAAATAAATAAATGTAGAAGTAAAAAGTAGCCGAAGTAGAGAAGCCTGATGATTAATGGAAGTAATTAGCACTAAAAATCAACAACATAATTAGTGGAGTAAAGTTGCAGCAATCCATTAAACAAAAATAAAACCAACCAACAAATTAAAGTTGGTTGCTGCAAATTCACTCAATTCTCACTTAGCTTTGCACCATATCATCATATCATTTGGTACGGTAAATTCAAACTCGGGTCTTTCCTTAGTGCGAGAGGATCGGGAAGAACACACCTTTAGTGTATCAATTATCGTGTCCACGGTAAACGCTGGATAGCCACGTGCATAGCAGATAACTGTTGAAAGGATCTAAGTAGTAAGTCCACCCCAGATGAGTGCTCTCTTATTCTGACTTCTCCAGAGCCTCCGGTAGCACAGTCGAGATAACAATTGGTTCTCTGCCCAGATACTAAATTTTTAAATTTTGTGTTCGATAAGTCTTTTAAAAATGTTTAATAAATTTTGAACTTTTAAAATTTTTCATTCAAATAAATTATTGAAATTTTCATTTAAATTTTTTAAAAATTTTCATTTAATAAATTATGGAATTAAACTATTTTATTAATTTTTATATTTATTAAGTTAATAATAATAATAAAAAAAAAAAAAAAATAATAATAATAATAATGTACGTGGCACCCTGTAACATTAACTTACGTTAATTCATTTTGAGATAGATACCGACTTTAAATTTTATTCATTATTTGTAATTTGTCAATTCCCTCTTAATTTTTATTTATCCAAATTTCTAAATTATGTTATGTCATTTTGAATATGCTTGCACGTACAATATGCACTTGGTACAAATATATACACGGAAATTAAACGACATTAAAAGCTATTTATTAAAACGAAGATGAAAATGTAACATGTCGATAAGTTGTTTCTCTCACTATAAAAAATTTTGCGCATAAATTTTTTTTTACGAAGTTGATAAATTATCATTCATAAAGTTTATGAGTATTTTTAAAATTATTTTAAAATTTTAAAATTTTAAAAATATTTTTAAAACAAAGTATTAATGGTTTTATGATATTTTTAAGCTTAATAATATTTTAAATATTTTTGAGTTAAAAATTATTATTTAAAAAAAAAAAAAAAAAAAAAAAATATATATATATATATACATTTTCCGGTCCCAAATAATTTCTTGAAGCACACTTCCTCAACTGAAATTCGGAGTAAAAACAAAGAAATCAACACGAAAGAAGAAAGCGAGTTTACCGAATCAGAACGATTTCAACTCAGATTCTTAGCTACTTATGATCTTAAACGAGACTGCTTCCTAGATCTCTCTTTGTTTGAGTCCTCCATGGCTGTCCCCGTCGAAGAAGCCATTGCTGCGTTGTCCACATTCTCCCTTGAGGTAATGCTTGACCAGTTTCAGAAATTATCATTTGCTTGTTTTATTGATGGTTTTTTGACTTTCGATGCTTTACTAATCGATTTTGTAAGACTTATTTCAGTTGTTCAGCTTTAAATTTAGTATGTTTTGGTCAGAAATGAGAATTCTGTAGTGGGGTTTTCTGCTGCAATTTGAATGCTTGCATTTCTTACATTCCGACTTCAATTCTTGTAGGATGACCAGCCAGAGTTGCAAGGACCTGGCGTTTGGGTGTCAACTGAGAGAGGCGCAACCGAGAGTCCAATAGGTATGCATTTTTTGGAGTTGTGTATGGATATCGAGCATCTAGATTTAGTACGGCTATGATTTTTGGAGTTGAAAAGAATGCCTGCTATTGAATGGTACCTTTTCTATTCTTCAAATGTGGGCGATCGTAATAGAAACTTTTGACTGGAACGGAACAGAGGATTTGTGGTGATTGTATTTTCATTGACAATTGCTAAGGATGAACTGAGAATAGAGTTGGAATATTATTGGCTATTGAAGTCCTCTATGTCCTCAAATTAGGGCTGACTTTATTGAGGCAAGCTTCTGTTGTCAAGGAACTATGTTGAGAGCTGCCCTCATCCGAGGCCATCATCTCTGTTAACATAGTATCAGTTAGCTGAGCGAATTAGCAAGTTCATTCTTTTGCTCATCGTTGCAAAGCTCACACACACGGTTACGATGAGAAACAACTTCTCATTGATATAATGAAGAAAAAAATAAGTATGCAAGAAATTAATGTAAGTAACGGGACTCAGATGATTTGAAAAGTGATTTAGAGTGTGAAATTTTTTTTATTGTTTATAATATATGTTATTATGTATAGTCGTTCTCTTAGTTTAGGGCTCTCATGTATACCTATACACATATATATGTGACCCACTAATATAACATACAACGAAGTATTTTTCCAATACTGTGTACATGGTATGAGAGCAATATCTAGAGTTTTAGAATATTTCTTTTTCTTTTGGCGGTTAAGGTTCCTTTTCCTAGACATAGGGCTAGTATATGAAGCTTGGATCATCACATTAGAGTGACCATTCCTCAACACTGCCCACCCTAAGAGGAGAGCCATCATTTGTCAGAAACACCGCGCGTGAGTTACACGCGCTACCAAACAGATCTATCTCCACTACCATGAGCTGAAGTGTGAAGGTGCATAGGTTGTTTGAATCAACTTCTATCAACTGAGTTTGTTTCGAGTTGTGTTTTTCAACTTGTTCGTGTGATTGGATTCGACAAAATCTCTTGAGTTTGTCTTGGGTTGTGTTGTTTGCATTGTGGTTTTGTAAATATTTGCAGTTTAGTTTGGTTTTCTCTTTGTTGAGCTTTATCTTCAGTCTGTCACTAATGACTGAGATGAAACAGATGGTGGTAACTAATGTAGCTCCCCTTACTTCCAAGATCACATAACATATGTTAAATGGTTCAAATTACTATGATTGAAGTCAGTGTATTAAATTTAATCTACGAAGCACTGGGTTGGATTATCATGACTGATGATTCACCCACAGATGACACAAAGAAGATTTGGTTTCGAGATGATGCTCAATTATATCTTCAAATAAAGAACTCAATTTACAAGTGAGGTAGTTGGCTTGGTAAATCATTGTAACTCTGTGAAAGCTATTAGAATTTTTATACTCAAGAAAATAACAAGTTCATAGAATGGTTGAAGTTTGCCTAATATTCTTTCGTTCAGAATATAGAGAAGACTCTGTTACGAGTTATTGTATGAAAATTAAGAAGATGTGTAGAACTTGCTTTGTTATTACCATTTAGTGCAGATATAAAAGTTCAACAAGCTCAAGGAGAAAAGATGGCTGTCAATTTGCTTATGAATGACTTTTCACCTGAATTTAGAAGGGCTAAAACACAAATTCTCTGAGTCTGAGATCCCTTATTTGAAAAGTTTATTTACTCAGTACAAATAGTTCAAAATCTGGTTTGTCTATTTCTCATATTTCTCAATTCAAGAGTGATCTTATTTGTAAGAATAGTAACTCCAAGGTTACTAAAGGGGTGAGCACCAATGTTCAAAGAACTGGTTATGATAATTGGAGACAAGACGTAGGAAATTGTATGTAATTATTGTCGTCAGCCCAGTCATATGAAACATGACTATCAAAAATTGTATAAGGGTCAACAACCTCAACATGCTTAGATTGCTTCCTCCAATGATACAATTGTGGAGTCAGAATCATTTCTGTAGTAGATTTTTCTAACTTTTAGTTGCACTAGGAATCATTGCAGGCACCATCCTTTCCCAATCTATTGCAACCATTTGTAAACTAGGTGTCACAATCGCACTTTCTAGGCAGTGGATTAACGATTGTGCGACGTTTGTTCTAACCTAGCGAACAAACCAACTATGTGAAAATCGGACTTTGTGGACAATCCTGACATATGGTCGAGCCTCGTCAGTAATCATGTTTTAGAAAACGTGGGCGAGGAAAATCGTTGAAAACAAGTTGAGATTAAGCATTGTGAAAGTCAATTGCATTGAAAAGATGTGGGCAAGAGAGATTACAATACTTGGTTGGGGGAGGTTTGATAACTACTAGGTACCCCTATATTACATTTTGAGGCGATTCAAGTTTGACAGGGTTAGACATGATTTTGCCGAATAGTCATACAATAGAAATGAACGAAGAAAGTAACACAACATGAAAGCAAGTAAAGGGGTTGGGCGTGTTGTGGGCATGCGGCCATGGGCAATACGTCCTGGGCAAGCATGATCATGACATCCTCCCCCAACTAAATGGTTGACGTCCCTGTCAACCGTCTATGTTCTAAATCTTCAATGTGGATTGCGGCGGAGTTCAGATCTTCGGCGCACTCCCAGCTAACTTCCTCTGTAGGGAGATTTTTCTATTTGACCAAGAGTTCTCGAACACTCCGTAGGTCTTCCGACTTTCCAAACTCTGTTAGCTAGGATCACTTGGACTTCTTTGTTGACCTGATATTTGATGTTGATTCCGAGCCTTATGACAACGTTGCGACTGTCATCGTTCGGATTGGGTTGGTAAGACTTCAGGTTGCTCACATGGATTACAAGGTGAATTTTCATTCATGTGGGCAATGCCACTTTGTAAGATATAACCTCGATTTTCTTGAGAACTTCAACTAGTCCTTCGTATTTCAAGTTTCTGGTCCTTTCAGCTTCGAAAACGGATCTGTTCTAGCCTTAGCTTGATGGACTTGGTCTCCTACTCGAAATTGGAGGGGCTGACGCTTATTGTTGACCACTTTTCTTGTGTTTAGAAGCTTTTTCTGAATACGTTCGAGCTATGTCGGTTGTCTACTTCCATTCTCTTGTGTTGGGCTTGTGGATTCTTCCCGGCGTATCGGTGGTCAATAATATGAGGCAAGGATGGTTGTCTTCCACTCACAATTTCAAACAGGCTCTTCCCAGTTGATGAACTAGATTGACAATTAAAACAAAATTGGACCACATCTAGTAGCGGGACCCAATTCTTCTGGCGAGAGTCAACGAAGTGTCGCAAATATTCCTCTAACAAAAAATTGAATCACTTAGTCTGTCCATTAGTCTGGGGATGGTAGCTCGAGGAGATGTTTAAGGTTGTCCCCAAGTAGGCGAATAATTCCATTTAGAATGTCCCAATAAATTTGATGTCTGTATCACTTATGATACTTGATGGAATGCCCCACAACTTCACAATGCCGCTTTTAAAGAATAGTTGGGCAGTCAATTTAGCCAAGCATATCTTGGACGTGGACACGAAGGTGGCATATTTCGAGAATTGGTCTATGATGACCAAGATGACTTCATGTTTGCCTACCTTCGGAGGTGTGTGATGAAGTCCAAGGACACATTTTTCCAAGGTCTTGTTGGTATTGGCCTCTTCGAGGAGACTCGAGACTTTTGCTCTTTCAACCTTGTCTAGTTGGCAGACGAGACATATCTTGATGTACTGCATTATGTCGTATCGCATGTTCGGTCAAAAGTTTCCCTTTTTCACTAAGGCATACTTGTATTGCTGCCCAGAGTGACCGACCCATAAAGTGTTGTGACATTCTTGGATGAGTTTCTTTTTGAGATCTCCGCTTTTGGGACATAGAACCAATTACCTTTTGTCAGCAGAAGGTCCCCATCGACCCAAAACTGTCTTGTCTTTCCGCCTTTGGTTAACTCGACAATTGCTTTGGCTGAAGGATCTCTTTGTAGGTGTTCCTGTATGATATCTCGCATCAACCTATTGTTCTTACTGGAATGAACGTGGACTAACATGCATAGGGCTGCAGGTTCGCCCTTCCGACTCAGTGCGTTGACAACTTGATTACTCTTTCCTGCTTTATGTTCGAACCTGAAGTCGAACTCAACTAATTTTTCTTGCCACCAGGCTTGCTTTGACATCAATTTTGGTTGGTCAAAGAAGTGGCAAATTGCACTTTTGTCTGTCCTCACCACAAAGTGAGATCCTAGCAAATATTGCCTCAACTCTAAGACAATGGATCGCAGCCAGCATTTCTTTTTTTTTAGACTTTTTTTTGAGACTGTGTATCTCCTTTCTGTATTGTTGAGCTTTCGACTTTCATAGGCAATGAGGTGACCTTCCTAGATAAGAACACTCCCAAAGACAAAGTCGGATGCATCCGTCTCTATTTCAAAAGGCTTAGAGACGTCTACCAAGTTGAGGAGAGGGCCTCTCGTCATGGTGGCCTTCAGATCTTCGAAGGCCTTTTGACATTCATCTGACCACAACTAGGAGTGGTCTTGCTTCAGTAGTTCTGTTAGTGGGGCGACTCACCTTGAAAACCCTTCAACGATCCGCCTGTAATAGTTTGCCAATCCCATTAAGGATCGTACTTTGGTTATTGAAGTAGGGGATTTTCCACTCTTGGATAACTTTTGCCTTATCGCTATCCAGGCTGATTTGCCCCAGGAAGTTGATACATTTTTGTGCAAAGGTGCATATCTCTCTTTTCACGTATAGCTGTTTTTGCCTCAACTTTTTAAAGACTAAGCGCATATGTATCTTGTGTTCCTCCAATGTGGCACTGTATACAACAATATCGTTGAGACAAACCACGAAGAATTGGTCCAAGCACTCATGAAAGACTTAGTTCATCGGGTATAGAACATAGCTGGAGCGTTTGTCAAGCCAAAGGGCATCACCATATCTTGTCACACAAGTGGTTTTCGGTTCATCTCCCTAAGCAATATGCATTTGGTAGTATCTCAACCTTAGGTCCAACTTCATGAAATATTTGACCCCATGAAGCTGGTTAAACAAG